TACCCTCCCACTTGTGACTGTATGACTGTAACTTTGTCGCTTTTATCTTTTACGATTTATATTTTTGTTTCCTAGTATGATTTGATTGCTTATTGTATCCTATGACTATTAAGTATTGTACCTTATGATTCTTGACTGTTAACGAATGTATCTTTACTTTTATGTACACTGAGAGCATTTGCAAGACAAATTCCTTGTGTGTCCAATCACACTTGGTTAATAAACTATTCTATTCTATTCTATTCTATTCTATTCTATTCTATTCTATTCTATTCTATTCTATTCTATTCTATTCTATTCTAAATGGCCCTATTAGAGAAGTGATAGAGGCAGGGATAGAAGGAAGTTGCTTGAACCTTGGGCAAGAGTGACATCATATTGCAATTCAATATAATGCAAACATAAGCAACAGAATATAATACAATCAGTGTACTAAACTTTAAAAGAGCTAATTGTAACTGAGAGTGAGCATAAACAAAATTTCATGGAAATTTCCTAAAGGGGAAAACAACTTAAGAAGCATGGGAAACACTGAAAAATATTATAAAAGCCCATCCCAAGAAAAAAAGAAAAACAAAAAATCCAAGAAGCATGATCACACAAAGATCTCTTTGAAATCTGAAAGACAAAATGGATGAACAGAAAAAAATGAAAAGGACATATAACTAAAGCAGAATATCAGCAGATAGTTTTAATCTGCAAAGATGAAGTCAGGAAAGCAAAGGCTTAGAAGGAACAAAGACTTGTAACCAAAGTAAAAAATAATTTCTTTCAACAAATAAATAACAAAAAATAATTGGTTCACTAAAAAGAGAAGACGGCAAGGAAGTAACAGGCAGTAGAGAAAAAGTAGAGCTGCTTAAGTCATTCTTTGCATCAGTTTTCATGCAAAAAGAAACCATAGCCCAACTTATCAAAACATAACTGTAAAAAACTAGAAATAGAAATTAAAATAACCAAGAAAATGATAAGAGAACACCTGTCTGGCCTTGATGAGTTTAAATAACTGGGATCTGATGGATTACATCCCAGAGTTCTGAAGGAGCTGGCAGATGTTATCTCAAAACCACTGCACCATATCTTTAAAAAAATCATGGAGCTCCAGGGAACTATCAGAGGATTGGAAAAGAGTGAATGTGGTTCCCATCTTCAAAAAAGAAAAAAAACAGACACAGGAAACTACAGACCAATCAGCCTTACCTGGGAAGATATTGAAAAATAAAAATAAAAAAATAGATCTGTAAATAACTTGAAACAAATGAAGTTATAATTAGTAGCCAGCACACGGTTGTTAAAAACAGATCATGCCAAACCAATCATATTTCATTTTTTGATAAAGTGACTAAATTAATAGTGAAATTCTGTGGACCTAGTATACAGTACTAGTAGACCTAGTATAGACATTAGCATTTGATAAAGTAGACCACAATATACTTCTAAAGTAGAAAACTGTGGTATAGACCAGCGGTCACCACTGGTGGGCCGTGGAAAAATTTTGGTGGGCCGCAGAAGAAATGGCCCCCAAAAGCAATTAATCTGGGTCGCGCAGTTCTCTCGCCTTCCGGCTCGAGGGACCCCGGAGTGAGGTCCCTGAGATGCACGTGCCAACCAGCTCCCACACACGGCGGCAGTGGTGGCAACAATTAGTTCCCACACTCCCAGCACCGTTAACTCTCTCCATTAGCTTTGAATTGCTCCCGCCTCTCTTTTCTCCCCCCCCCGTGCCCACGTAGAGCCGTGCGTAGCTTTCAGCTCTTCCAGCCCTCGCTGCCTCTCTCAACATTGAAGCCTCAGAGATGCAGGCAAAGCCACCGCAGTAGTGCCCTAAGTTGCCTTAGCATGCTCGGTTAGTTAAGAATTGCCCTACTCAGAGAAGGAGGTGCTGGAGGAGGAGGAAGGGGCAGTAGTGGAGAAGCAAGCAACTCAGGGTGCTACTGCTGCGGTGGCTTTGCCTGCATTTCTGAGGCTTTGATATTGGGAGAGGCAGCGAGGGCTAGAAAAGCAGAGAGCTGCGCACATCTCCATCTCCCTTTCCTTTCCTGCCTGTACATGGGCACAGGGAAAGGGGGGAGGAAAGAGAGCTGGGAGCAATTCAAAGCTAGAGAACTAATGGGAAGAGCTGACAGCGGGCACTGGGGGAGGGGATTGTTGTTGCTGCCGCCGTCATGTGTGGGAGCGTGCATCTCGGACCTGAGCCGGGAGGTACGGGAACTGCAAGTGGGAGCATTTGGTGGTTTTTAAGATCTTCTGGAACGCAGTAGATTGGTGTTTTGTAGGTCTCAGTGAAAGAGTGAGTTTTGTTTCATCTCTTTTCCTCCCCTTGTAATGCAAGAGATGCTTTCTTTCTCTCTCCCCCCTCCCCCACCCCCAAATAATCACTGGCTGTGGCTGGGTTTGGCAGCGAAGTGCTAAAGTGAGCAAAGTGCCCCAGGGACACCTTTCCTTGCCTGTCTCCAGGTGAGGCTGGAAGAACTACCCCCCCCAGCTTTTTCTCGGCTGCAGATCTGAGCTCTCTCAATCCTCCACCTGGCATCTGAAAAGCTCTTCTGTCTCTTTGGAAGGTGCAGGTGGGGGGAGGCTTCCAGCCTGGAACGTTTTGTTATTATGCATTTACGTTGTTGTTATAATTAAATAGGTGTGTGTGCATGATTTTTATATTAAATATACATATACACATATACACATGCATGCATGCATGCATACATACATACATACATACATACATACATATATTTGTTTTCTTAAGTTTTTGCGGGTACTTACATGTATGGTATTCAGTTTTGTTCGGGTATTTTCCCACGTTATTATAGTTGTGCTTTTAAAGTTGTAGCAACGTTTCAGCAGAATCTCATCTGCCATCATCAGGCTTCTGTATTGTGTTCGTCTGTGAGTCAGACTTCTACAGTGGTTTCAGTTTTAAATTAGGGGCTAGCCTACTGCTGTGCCAGAATGTTTTTTTCTTCATCCTGATTGGTTGGGAGTCTTGGTCTGTGTTTATTGGTCTTGGAGTTTGCTGTGTTCTGCTTGATTGGTGTTTCTAATATCTTCTTTAAAGTTGTAGTAACGTTTCGGCAGAATCTCATCTGCCATTATCAGGCTTCTGTATGCACAATCTGCACTAAAAGCCTCCAATACAGGAACACAATGTTGCCAGCCAACCAAGACAAAAAAAGCCACAAAACAGACAGAAGATATTAGAAACACCGACCAAGACTCCCAACCAACTTTAAAAGAACAATTACAATGACGTGGGAAAATACCCGAACAAAGCCGAATGCCATACATGTAAGTACCCGCGAAAACTTAAGAAAACATATATATAATAAATATAATATAATATAATATAATATAATATAATAAATATAATATAATATAATAAATATAATATAATATAATATAATATAATATAATATAATATAATATAATATAATATAATTAATATAATATAATATAATATAATATAATATAATATAATATAATATA